ATAATTATATAACATTTAAAATTAAAAATTTTTTTAATGCTAACTGTTAGCCGCCGAGCGCATGTGTCTGGCCTTTTAATTAAACATATAAATTAGAATATCTTTCAAAACTGGTACTCAATATAGTATTACAGAGATGTGTTTTAAACTCTAGCTTTCAATTTTCCGCTAAAAGTCACCTTAAACTTAAATGTCGGCATTTATAAAGGATTTCCTTCCAACAATTTGATTCATTTAATGTCGCGGCAGAAAACGACCTTAATTACTTTTTTCGTTTGAACTTTAACTGAATTTAAAACACTCATAATGGAACAAATTGAAACTGTCTGTTTTATAAATGGAAATAGTTAAACAAGAGAAATACCAAGTATTTAAAAACCACTCACTTAACATTTATAATCAAATGCGTACAATCAAAGAATTTGAGAAGCTTCAAAGCGATTTTTGAATTCAATATGTTTATTTTATAAGTTCTTACTTTTATATTAAAATACTCGTACATGAATATTTATATAAAAGAAAAATAATCTAGTTAGTTATTTCATAGACTTATATACTATAATTATATATTTTTTAATATTTATTAACTTTTGTACAAGATATTTTCGCTTGTGAATTTAAATAACTTCTAAATAATAATATCTACAAAGGAGTACAAATCAGACCAACGTTATTGTTTTATTTCGGTCACGTACGATTTTATAGTCGGCTGAAATGGCCTCTTTTTTGGATTAAAACGTCAGTAGCAGATGAATTTCGACAAAGAAATGGGATCTTATGAGAGAACAAGCTGTAAATGTAAATTAGATTCAAGATTCAACTCAAAATGTTACTTTCCTTAACCTCCATTTAACATTTAAACCCTAGTAACAATAATAATTAAACATCTGATGGAACATGTATGAAAAATAAGGTATCCATATATGGGAATAAATGAAATAAAAATAACGAGGATTTAGAGCAAAATAAGTGCGTTTAGGAATTTCTTTTACTTTATTTTAGTACACAAAAAAACAATATATGTAAAATTGAAAAAAAATGTTTGATGAATCTAATGTCATGTAAACAAATAAGTAAATACGCTATTTTTATATTTATGTGATAATAATTTTTAAATTAAAATAAATATGAAACTTTTTAATGAATAAAAATTATTCAGCGAGTGTATGTATGTATGTGTGTTACATTTAACCTCTACGGATTTGATTGAAACTCATAATTAATACGGCTTAATATGTATTGCACTAAGATATAGGCCACTCAAGTAAATATATAAAATCCTCTATTGCATTAAAAGAATCATAAGTTCAATAATTTTCAAATATTCAGTACTCTTATTTAATATTCAATGGCATTTTCCAGTTGTGTTTACAGGAAGGAAAATGCTTTATATCATTATGACATCAGAGAGCTGAGTTATGAAGTAAAAAGTACTTAAGTAGTATGCACGGGATGAGTGCGGCGAGCGTGGAGCAGGGCGGTCGTTGATAATATCAAATAAAAAATATTCTATTTTTGTAATTATTGAAACTCAAACAAAATGAAAGCTTATATATGAATATAATTGTATAAAATAACAATAATATCGTGCTTATTTATATTGGAAAACAATTCCACTATTATGAGTAGATTGTTTTTAATTTATATAAGACCTTCCTTGAACTATAACCTATTTATTAAAATAAAGAATTATGAAAATCTCCAATTGTAAATACAATTCCAGTAGATATCGCATTGGTAAATGATGTCCTCCTGAACGATTATAGCAAAGGCGGCCAATCTCAATAGTATAATAATATAATACTAGCTCTTTACCCTCGCTTCGCTCGGGTTCGTCCCTAGGTAGGTTTTAACGGTTAGTGTGGATATCCCACGGGAATCGTAGATTTTTCGGGATAAAAAGTAACCTATGTACTATTCGAGATTAATCTATTTCTGTGCCAAATTTCTTTGATTTTTGAGGTTGAGTAACAAATATCCATCCATCAGAACTTACGCATTTATAATATTTATGGAATATTAGTATATTAGTTTTAATTTGCATATAATAAATGGTTTAGTTCATTAGTAACCGACTGCACTAGGTTCTAGTGCTACCGCGCTTCGACAGCGACTAATTTATAACGCGCCATTGCCGTCTCGTTAAACATAGCGTAGTTTGTTAATGTCCGTTTTTGCATTTCAAATCTCTTAATTCTAACTGTGGTTGATGAAATATGCCAACTTTATTACTATTACTAGTGTGAATTAACCTCGCGTGGCTTGGGTGCGTTCCTCGGTACGTGCATATAGCGTTGCTAAAGTTTAATAGGAATATCTTTTTAAGAGGAATAATTCTGTTATACATTGTTTTCGTAAAACTTTATTAGTTTACGCGGCGCACGCCAAAAAAGCTCCCAGTCGGCATGATTTTTTCTGACATCTTCAACAATTATCATCATATTTCAGTCAATTTACATAAAACCTTAATGAATTAAACATTTAAACCCTCCTCGTGAATCACTCCATCTATTGGTGAAAACCGTATGAAAATCTGTTCGGTTGTTTTTAAGTAAGTATTTTATAATATGATACGAAAGCTTATTAAAACATTTACCTAATGAGTTCTCCATGAAGTGGCTAATTCGTTCATGGAGTTCTGTTAAAAAAAACATGTTCGTGAAATATAAAAAAATATAAATGAAAGGATATCAAAAGCTTGAAATATTAATCTTTTTCAGAATTCTAACACTGCTAGATATAAAAGTAAAGTTAGTAGTTTTTAGACTTCATTATTTCTATGTATTCAGATATAACACTCGTCTGTTTTATTAAAAAGTCTTCAATAAAAAGTTTAAAGCTAACAACGTAAAAGAACAAAACGAGCTTTACGAGCATTTAATGATTTTTCCGCACACGAAGGCGATACGGAAGAAGGAAGCATTAAAAACATTTTCTCTGCGCTTTAAGTCGTGTCTACATATTACACAACTGGAAGTAATTAGTAAGAACAAACAAATGAAACTGATGCTAATGTAAAGCACCGTATTAAAAACATAAATGAAACTTAGACTATCTACTCAATTATCCACTATCGAGCATTTTTATTAGAAGAAACGTGTCCGATAAGATTTCTTAGCGTCTCTATCCGTCTTAATTGGCTAGAAATAAACACTTTTATGGTCAACACATCCAATTACTCCATGCAAGAAAGGAATAGTAGCACTAACTTTTATTAGCTCGCAGCGCCTGCTAGAAGAATAATATATATTAATCTAGAATTTATTTTAGAAGAAAGTATGATGACCACTTTAAGTTATAATAATTTACTAACTTAACATTCTTTATTATTCATAACAACATTCAGACTAGTAATAGTAGTATTTTATATATTACTAGCGGCTCACCCTCGCTTCGGTCGCGTTCGCCTTTAGCAAAATAAAAACAAACCTATCCCACGGGAACCGCACTTTTTCCGGGATAAAAAGTAGCCTATATGTTATTTCAGACTATGATCTATCTCTGTCCCAAAGATTTACCCAGATCCGTTCAGCCGTTCTGGCGTGAAAGTATAACAAACATCCATACATACTCACAAACATTCACATTTATAATGTTATAAAATATTAAATAATACCGATTACACTAATTGCATTTTTATTTGTTAGTGGTTTACCAAAGCAAATTAAATTTTAGCATTTGTTGTAGGCACAATGCTTATGCTTTAACCGAAAACGTGTATACTCGTACTATATACTGTATAGGTATTTATCTATATGGAATATACACATTATTTCATAAATATTATTTTCTATAGGAAATACGTGGTTAGAATATTATATCAAAAGAAATATAACACCAGACCACTCATCCATAGGATACGGAATTTCTCTTTTTCCTCAATTTAAAACGTTTTTACCCGCTCCTTTAAAGACGTTGTTCAACAAATTCACTTAATGCCGTTAAATGAACCGTGTTAGCATAATAAAAGATTTATGCTCAGAAACGATTTTCAAACGGACTATATAACTCTGTTGAATGGTAAAGCCGCACTCGACATCGTGGCTTGATCTCCTGTCTCCAGTCCGAATATTTTTTCGCGCTTCAATGGCTCTAAATTTCGGAATTGAAGCCGGGCAAATAGTACACAAACAAAACGTCGATTACTTAAACACTGCTAGCTGTTGCTTAAATGAACGCAGAGCTATCTCTCCCAAAGTTTATACGTTACTTTTGTCATTTAGTAGGAGCGTTTACATTTTCCAGTAAATTTATCTTCCGAAATTCCCGCCATAATTAGGAATAAGAAATAAACGTACAGCAAATTAAACCACAAATTTGTTTTCTCTACGTACTCCATTGAAGAGAAAGCCCATTCGGCATCTGTAATATTTTCTCTTAATTGGATCAGCCTAGAGCAGCATGAATTTACACAATAAAAATAAAAATAGTATGAAAGTATTCCCGTGTATCGATAAATGACTCTGAATAAAGAATGCTCCATTTACGGTATAAAATATTCTAAAGCGCTTTATTTCGGTTACTCTTGTGATTCGAGAACGTAGATATTATTTTTTAAGGAGAATATTTTTTCGTCGACTTAATTTATTTATTAATATGAAAGTATAACATAATTTTTTTCGTGATAATGAATAATTATTATCTTCGCGTAATGTATGATTTATTATCACCGCAGAAGTATCTATCTAGGGCAGCATATTATGCAACCAGAAGAGATACAGATGCTCCCCACTCAGAAAATCTGAAAGTTCCTGGAGTCAACAGGACTAAGGGGAGAACTTTAAATTCACTCTAAAGGGAGCTACAATGGAACATAACTGGTCGAAGTAGCTAGGGCCGACCTCGGCACCACTCCCAATAAAATATAATAATAAATAAATGTATGATTATAAAAATATACTTTATATTTTATACATTACGCGATTTCTACTATAAAACGCGTTTTACAGAAAAAATCTAGAAATCGCTTTATTATAATAATATAGTTATTTTTTGTACAGTAGTGGACAGTCACAAAGGGGAGAGCCTAGAGCTGTCCCATGTACAGAGGACAGACATGGGCGCGTATTACTGCATTGCGAGCAACGGAGTGCCGCCCACCGTCAGTCGCCGATATCACGTGCAGGTGCACTGTAAGTCATCCATTATGACTCGCTTCGATCTATTTACAAATTTCATGCAAGCTTCGTAGACTGTAAACGAGGTTAATTAGAGACCGCAAATATGAACAAATTGATACTGTTTTGTTGAAAATTGAATTTATTCATGAAAAATTACTTTAACTCCTAATAATATCTAATCTTATTTAACAAAGTTTTTATTGATCTACGAACTCAGTAATAAATAAATAAAACTTATATCGTCTATTAATCTAACTTTCTTGATACAAATGTATAACCTAACAAAGTTTACAAAATAAAGAAAGGGCTGCAAGCCGTTTTGGACTAAAGTAAATTAACAAAACACTAGATTATGGAAGATATTTTATTAAAATTAATTATTATTACATACGAGTTAACTGTTTAATAAAATAAATATTTTGCTAATGTATTTTTTCTTATAGTTATACCGCTAGTCAAAGTGACAAATCAACTAGTTGGAGCTCCGATTGGCAGCGATGTGGAACTTCAATGTTACATAGAAGCTTCGCCTAAAGCTATGAATTCGTGGTACCGTGAGGATGGTAAGAATTTCTTGCTTACTGTAATTTCTCTATGGCTACCTTTTTATAGAATAAGGCCGTGTATCGTAACACTAATGATAATATGTATCTAACCAAAGATTTATTAACGTGAACTGCGAAGAAATCAGATAAACGAGAATAGATGGCTTTTACTTAAAGCGAGGGGCACATAAGATTACATGAGAGAAAGCGATTAATCACGAAACAAGGCAAAATCTATGTAATTAATGATATTCTCTTCCGAAGCAACACATGGAGTACGTAATAGCTTTATTAAACATTCGCCCATAGAACTTGGAGAACCGCCAGACAATGGGCAGACAGATTACTAGAGCAAGATTAACGTCTGTCCTATCGAAAATTTGAGCATCTTGGCCAAATATGATAGGCCCATTGAGGGGTTTGATTAAAAAGAACTGTATTTTATTCAATTAATCAATTTGTTATCTACAATAATTAGATTAGAATAATTAGACTGATTTCGGTTAGGGCTTATGTCCGAGAGCAAGTAACACTGATACGTTTCTGCTCTCGAAGGGGAATCTCACGCCACGAGGTTATAACACGGCTAAATTATCAACTAATTTACTAAAAATTGACACTACCTCTACCTCAAATCAAACTTGCTTCGGCTACGCAAAAAGAACTACTAGGCACAACTATATAAATATGTTGGCTACAGTTTAACCCGTCTGTATTACAATTTAAGCCACAATGAAACGAAAAATTAGGTCTGTATAATAAAAAAGGTCCATTGAAATGTATCAACTCAAATACCTGTCAAACAGAATGTCTTTGAAAATATTTACAAAATAATTTTAGGTTCATATTAAGATTGCATATTATTAAATTTCTACCTTAATCTATTTACTTAAAATAATCCTCACACTTTGCAGCTTTAGTAAGCGACAAACTATTAGAAAATCCCAAATTTCGCATCACGGAAACGACAGTGAACGAGTATTCAATATGGATGAACCTGACTATAAAGTCCCTGGCGCCAGGCGATTTCGGCACTTATGTGTGCGCTTCCGTCAACGCTTTGGGGAAGATGGAGAGCCAAGTCAGCTTACATAGTGAGTCGAATGTTTTATCAGCCATGTGAGTTAGAAATAAGTTAAATGTACAGGAGATTTTCTTTTTATAGCCCATCATGTTTAACATTGAATATTGTACAATTTTATTTTATTATTATTTACTTCTTTAAAATAAAAATCATGACATTGAATTCACAAATATCTTAATTGGATCTTAATTTTGTGAATATTTGTGACGAATATACCTATTTTCTAAAATAATTGAATACTACAGTAGTTGTTTATTTTTTAGTGAGCAAACAATTTTTAATGAGCCATAATCCTTTTGCATCCAAATGTTCCTTTTAAACTGTAAAAAAAATAAAATTACTATTTTGTTAAAACGATAAGATTAACTTTTATGTTCATCACACAAAAACATCACTCTTTCCCTCAAAAAAAGTATTCTTATCACCTCTAGGTAAATTTCTAAGAAATTAATTGAATTTCTAAAAAATCTATTGTTAACAGTAGTTATTTTAAGAACACTATACATTCATTCCGCATTTCAGAATTGTATTAAAACTATTCACAGTTCATAAATTCGTTAAATAAATTGTATAACAATTTTGCTCCCTTACTTTTACGAAGATTATACGATGAGGATTAAAAATTTAATTTCACGCTTACAGAAACTCATACGAGAGACACATTTGCGTAGTGTGTTGACATAAATTTATTACTATTTTATTTTTCCTGTTATCGCAATTTCATTGTGGTGTAGACAGTGGAAGTTACCTATGACACTTTATTTTCCCATTCAGTCTTTATGACGACGAAAAAACGCGGGGCTTTAACTAAATCAACGGGAATCGAACTCATATCTTTTACAGAAAAGATGATTTTTTAACAAAGCTCTAATAAAGGGTGATTAATCTTGATCTTGAGAGGGATAGAGAGAGAGCTTGACCTTTTACACAGAGATTGCTTTTGGGCCTTATACTGTACACCCACACTTTTTATACACACATCAAGTGTATTTGTGTGGTATGCTAGTCGGACTATGTAAATTCAAAAATTTGTTTATGTAAGTCCATATTCTTTACTCCTTCGCTAAACTTCAGATAAAACTTAGTACACAGATTGACTGTGACCTGGAGTACAAATAGACTACTGTTACACATATACAAACTGTTAAGCATATAGGGTTACATCCGAGTGAGGGTAAGTAACTATCAGAATTATATTAATTTACTCCATTTTTTATTTATTAGGACTGCAACTCAGTATGAACGGCTACGCAGACGAGCCGATGGTGTCGGGGGCGGCTTGGCAGCGAGCAAGGAACTTGCCAGCCACGCGTCCCGCAGCCTCGCATGCCCACCAGTATCTCAAACACCTACCACCACAACTATACGCCCTATTACTCACAACTCTTAGATATATACATACGTTTTAATCTTATAGGCCTAATAATTTCGAGAATAAAACTTCTACGGCCTAATAATACAATAAGATTTAACCAACGTATTTGATGTTAATATTTTACGTTTATATTCATAAAAAAATAACAATTTCTTGACTTATGTTTTTTTTATTTTAATATAATATTCATTTAAGATTTTAAAATATGTGAAAAAATAACTTGTGTATTTTTTCAGTATTTCAAATTTTAATTTGCATTTTTAATGGAACTCGGTGAGTTTTATTTAACTTGTGTAATTTGTTACTGTGGTTAAATATGTTTCTGTTATGTATAACTTATGAGCTAATCATGTAAATATCAACAAACTTTGTTTCGTAAAGTAAACCGTCTTAAGTACTTCGTCATGAAATTCACATTGCAGGAGAGTTCTGAAGCTGAATTGAATATAAATTAATTCTTATTCATATGCCATACATGTTTTATGTATAACAAACATCATATAACTCATTAGCAGGGTTTGCATCGCAGGATCTTTTTACAATGGAGGCAATATATTTTTATCAGTCATTGCCATTCAACGCACTGGTATTGGCCTAATCAGCTAGTATTTAATTTACTACATTTTTTCCAGCAGATGGCAGAGTCATATTTAAATAAAGTTTATCTCGAAATAGAAAGAAAAGAGTGTAAAGGTTTCACTTGCTCCATACTCAATTTTTTTTTATTCTATTTATTTATGTAGTAAACAATAAATATAAAAATCTTTTTAAATTAAAATAAGTGAACTAAGTTTTAAAATTTATTTGATATTATGTGATTTATTTAATTAAATATTCTTAACAATATCTTAACATAGACATAAGTTTTTACTTATTATATTATTATTTAAAGAAATATAACCATATGTACAAAACAGCAAATGGCGTACACTCTTGAAGTATATTAAATTGAAATAAAATATGACATTAAATAAGTACATAAAAAAATTATTTTATTTATTCATAAAAGTCTCGGTCATTCATTGGTTTTCGAAAAAACGTCCTTTGTACAGAAATGATCCTTATACCTAATATAAACTCGTAAATAGTTGTTATTAGCGATTTCAAAGTCAAATAATAATATTAATGTGCTTCCTTTAATTTTTGTAAATAATAATAATATGTATAACTTACGTAAAGTTAGATTTTCCATCCAAAAATTAATAAAACAATTTTATGAATATAGTAAAGTGAATATCATAATATAATTATTGTCATATAAATATTTACTACAATTATTTTAAGTCTTTGTATCTATAAAAATAGGTTCTGCCAATCATGTAAAGGTGAATGCACACTGGATCATTTTTTTTATATCAAGTTTTCATTAAAAAAAATCATCTACGTAGTGTGTGGGCGCCCTAAAATTAATCATATTTCTGGTTGTTTCCATCTTAAACTCTTGTGCTAATAAGTATGTTACGTTGACTTTGACAATAAATGTGTAATTTACAAACTGGTATAAAGTTGAAATAAAATGTGAAAATATTTTTTTTTGTGTATTTTTAACCACTCCATACCATATTGTTTAAGGAATTTTAAAAAGACTCTCAAAGTAATTGCAGTTTACTATCTTTATCCACAGCATCTACAGCATTACAATGTCCAGTACAATGTTGTTTAAAGGGATAGCTAACTTCAAATTTGATTTTTATAATCTAAACCCAATAAAGCCCCTTTTTAAAATAGGACAAATTGTTTAATAGCATGCACGAGACGTGTTCTTTTAACAATAATAAAAAGTAATTTATTTTTCATATAAGTAATGCAGAGTACTTAATTTAATCCCGATGTTACACGAAAAGAATAAAATTAACAGCTTTCACATCATTGAAAAAATTCTACGGACAGAATGGATTTTTAATGTCCCAATATTCTATAGGTTAGCGATGTCCCAAAGAAAGCGGGACAATGACGAATGGCCGCCGTCCACTAATGCAATTTTCGTGTTGCATTTGAATTAATACGTCAACGATTTATTCTACCTATTTTCAAACTTTTGCCTTTCTTTAAGGAAAGATTTATATAAAACGTTTGTATTTTATTTTTATTATTATATTAATTAAAAAACGTACAAAATAGAATTATTTCTTTTAGCATTTTAAGCTTTTTGGATATATAGATTTTTTTCATTGCCATCATTCCACAGTTTTCAATATATATACTAATATTATAAAGAGGAATGATTTTTTTGTTTGTTTGTACCGAATAAGCTCTGAAACTACTGGACCAATTTAGAAGAAATTTGGTAATAAGATAGTTTGAGAACCTGGGAAGGATATAGGTAGGATAGTTTTTATCCCGGAAATCGTCGCTTAAGTGGGTTAAAAATGTTATGATTTGAAAAAAAATGCTAATTTCTATATTTTAAAAAAATGCTAATAACAATTTTTTCTCATAATAAATAAGTACAGTAAATAAAATTTTAAAGTAACTGAATAATAAAAATATTGCAAGTTGAAAAACTGAATGTGTATAGAAGAATAAATGTGAACGGAAATACGATATTCGAACGTCTGTACTCCATTGTACGCTTGTAATCTAGAAATTAAGGACCTAAATCAAAAATATTACTTTCCGATTGCGATATAATTCATAATCATGGCACGTTACCCCTAAAATACCTTTTTTTTTTAAATAAGCAAAGATTATTTTGCCACCTACATTTAGTTCTTAACGATATTATGTATCATATTAAATTTTATGGTGATATACTTTATATGGACGGCAGTTTGTAGCAGCGGTCGCGGGTTCGACTCCCGCTGGGGGCATTCATTTGTGTGATGAGCACGAATGTTGGTACGCCAATCATGGGTATTTATATTTATAATACGTATGTATATATATATATATATATATATATATATATATATATATATATATATATATATATATATATAGTGTATTAACTTATCTGGTATCCATAACACAAGCCTCGTAGCTTACCATGGAACTAGATGCTGTGTGTTAATGTCACAACATATTTATTCTTTATACGTTATATCGGACTACTATTATGTATAAATGCGAAACTTTGTGGTGCGTGTATATTTGTTACATTTTTACGTTGAAAGGGCTTGACAGATTTGGATAAAACTTAATACACCGATAGATTATTGTAGTGATAGACCATTAAATTGACTACCTAAGAACGCACCCGATCAAAGTGTAAGTAGAGTAAGTTTATAATAATTTGCTGTAAAATAAAAGAAATTAAAGCATACTAAAAGCATTTGAAATATATTTATGAATTTGACACTAAAATCTTATAGTAAAAGAAATAAATTAAAATACTATCTTTGGGAAATATTACAAATTATTTAACAGAAAAAGACACTTTGGAATGACCGTATTTGTGATAATATAAAGCAAAAACTTTTATCCGCATAATTTATGCAGGTTATTCCGTAAGTGTCCCCAGTGGACGCTACCGTAATTTTTTCTTTATTCACTCGGCGAACTGGGTATTGGACTGGATGATTTTTCAGGGAACAACGTCAATTGTGCAACCTGGTCACGTAGTTTTTTAGCATCACTCGTAGAGATGCGCTGAAGTTTAATAATGTCATAGACAGCCAAATGTTCTTATGTGTGCGAAGTACCTAATATAATTTTATTTCATCTTTAGCACAAGTGAAAGAAGTTAATTATTTATTTATTAGTTACGCTACTTATCCTGATTTACTGTAACATGTTATTAAATATCTAAGGCTTTTACAATGCTATAAATGTAAAGAAAATTAATATTAACATATAAAAAATGTATTAAAATTAGATCTTTATTATCTATTAGGTATTATACTTAACCTGGCCTGAGCGTATTATCCTAGTAGATACCTATTGATGTAAAGTTTCTAGTTAACTCTACTAAATCCCTTATAATAATCTAAAAAATCTCAAAAACAATAAACAAAAAGCTTTCATTCAATTACAATTTCATGAAATAAAATATACATTTAACAAACTATAAATCAAAACCATTGCTAACAGATTTACTGTATTTTGCTAGGTCCATTTGTCGGGTGTACTGTCAAGCGACAGTAATTTTTTAAAAACGTTTCTGACAGCTCCGCCATCAGGTATGTCAGTTCTCGAAAAGATTTACTATGTCACTGGCTGGAATATTTCATAAAAGAAAGTGGGCTCCCACTATCTAAAACTAAAATTTTAGATGTCTGCAAGTCTGTTTTAAGTGATTGACTTTTAAATCTACCAAAATATATAAAGGTTAGGTTTAAAGTAATAAGAATTTTGATATATGCAAATGCAAAAGATAAATGTGTCACTCTGTATTACTGCTATATGACCCAACGAACTTAAATAAACGCAGAAAATTTTCTGTACATATATAATAAATTAAATAAAACATTAGACATTTACTACCTTAATAAAATAGACTGTAAAAAAACTTTATTTGATTACCTGCAAAAATTAACTTATATTGAAACTGAAAACCTTCTTAGTATTCATATCTGATCATAATGTTTATTATATAACTTGATCCTGCAATATTGCCTATGTAAAATAATAATACCCAGGCACACACGCGCATACACACACACACACACACACACACACACACACACACACACACACACACACACACACACACACACACACACACACACACACGCACACGCACACGCACACGCACACGCACTCATTACACAAATACTTCTTACAGTCATGCATTACACATCTTAAGAGAAAGGAATGACATATTTAGTAATATTAATTAATATCTTTAGTTGATATGTAGTTCTTTTTTTTTTGGTAATATTTATGTCACCTAACCGTGGGGATATGGCGCTGACAGCTGATGCACAGGTCTCCTAGTTCGGCTGCAGATGCTATGTTTTAAATATTTGTATGTACCAAATTAGATTTAGTAAGTGTTAAGCAAATATCTGGATGTACTTACTACCTTTTGGAAATAAAGAACTTATTAATATAAAGAACTTATTAATATTTTGTTTCTATAATAACATTAAT